GTTGGCATCTCCTCTTCCCACATGTAATTTATATGAATGTACCATGTCAATTTAGAGCCTGTCTGGTAAATCAGACGAACAAAAGAAGGAGGTAGGATGCATTAGAAGTTTTTCATTAGGCTTTAGGCTGAAAATGCGGGAGGGAAGTGTGCGCTCGGAGGCGGGGGTTCGGCTGGGAAAGCTTGGGAGCTCTGGGGGTCCCGGCAGCCCTGGCTCTGTACTGAACGGGACATTTTAATCAGAATTTCAGTATGTCAGTGGGGTTTACCAAATTCAGGATATGAATTTGTAGGTGCTTTTGGAATGTGATCAGGGGTGCTCTAAAGATGAGAGAAAGACTTTACCTGCCCTTGCTGTGTTGGGAACTCGCCAGTGCCCACGCACTCAAAATGGAGGGAAAAAAATTTCCCTATTTTCCCCTGCTTTGGGGGAAGCAGGGGGAGCAGCCCTGCCCACGCAGGCTGTGCCTTCCTGGCGGGGGCTGGCAGCGGTGGGGTCCCCCCGGAGCACGGCCCCACGGCTGCAGCCCAGCCCCGGGAGGGGGACGGGACCTGTGTCGGGATGTCAGGCTGATCTCACGGTCTCTGTTAGGAAACCCTGCAGTTGGGCCTGCCTAACTGCATTAAGGTATTTCCTTAATTAGATTTACTAAGTATGTAGGATTCTAATTCTTTTTTTTTCCTTCTCTCTTAATTTGCCTAATGAGAAAAACGAAGAAATAAAGTTACAAAACCGATGCCTGTGTTGCCTTCCGGAAAGGCCGGCGTCCAGCCATGTGGCCGTGCCGCTCCGGAGGATGCTCGTGCCTGGCTGTGGCCAGGGTGGGCTCGGAGGTGTCGGGGCCGGGCGAAGCACCCGTCTGCCTGCCGGGCACTGGGTGCTGCCTCTGGGGAGCGAGCACAGCGCCGTAACCTTTGGTTTCCTTATCGATGCTGGAGCCACGCGTCTCCCATGGTGCCAGGGAGAGGCGAGGGGGGAGTGATCACAGAGGCCATTTATTGGAGCTGTGCTGTGCCAAGCCCAGGCTTCAGCTCATCACGCTATTCTCGCTGTTCTTCCCCACCTTGTCCTCTCCCCCACTCCCTAATTGCCCTCTTGTGTCACGTCCACTGTCAGGCTGCACAGGCAGGAGTTTTGTTTTCTTCTTGTGCTGTGCCATCCTGGTGCAGGACTCGGTGGAAGAGCTGTGAGCCTTTTTGGGAAGGCTGATGCGGAATGCGCTGGGGGCCGTGCCATGGGAGGGTCCCGGCCCCTGTGGGGCAAGGGAGGCCATCCTGCTGCGCAGCGCAGGCAGTGATGCTCGCGTGCTGTGGGCCACCAGCATCCCCTGGCCGGTTGGTGTCCGGCTTTGCAGGGAAACCCCCCGGAGGAGCTGACCGTCCTGGGGCCGCTTCCCGGGGCCCCTGCTGTGGGTGGGAGCTGGGTGCTGGTCCTGCGGGGAGCTGCACAGCATCCCCCGGCCCCAGTCCTCACCGGTGAGCGCCTGGGACCTTTGCTGCTGTTCGGAGACCTGTACCCCTGGCGCCGGTCGGGGACCGGGTCACGGCGTGGGGCTGCCGTGAGCGCCCGCTGTCTCTGGTGTCATCTTCAGGGGAGATCCCCGGGGGCTGATTCTCCATGCGAGCATGCCGGTGCACAGATAAAGACGTGCTAATCTTCCTCATGATTCATTTATCATCCCGTGAGGGTAATCTGTTGGGGAATTAGGCTGATGGCCCTTGACCCTGTAGCTGACGGCAGGCTGAATCATCGGAGTCTGTGGTTGCAGTTTAACGTAACATATTTCCAGTGCACGGAGGCTAATTACAAGCGGTGGCTGGTGAATGGGTTTGTTTTGCTCTCCCCGGAATTGCAGGAGCAGTTCCAGCAGTTTGGCCCCAAAGAAGCAATCAGCATGTGACAGAGGAACACGTTGTTGTGTGAGTGATTTTATAATACTTAGAATATGATGCTATGGCAACCTGCTACAAATCCCAGATCAAATAAAATTATTTGCGTGCATCCCTGTAACTTTAATCTTTGCGAAGTCTGATACATTTTATGCCTTTGAGGCCACTGTGCAGATTAGTGCAATCAGGCAGAGCTCAGGGTTCAAAGCAAGGAGAGCAAAGGATGGGTGGTTTGCTCCAGATCAGGCTGTGCTTTAGTGTCCTAGAAAGACAAAGAGCAAACAGTAAAAATCTGTCATCCTCGGCATTTTTTCAGCAGTGGAGTCATGGTGAGTTTGTGGAGAGGAGAAAGGGAAGGAGCTTGATAAATGATACGGGTGGGCAGGACGTGAATTCTGCTATTGCCCATACATCGTCCCACATCCTTTTAATTCATTTCTTCCATTGAAAAACTGGAAGATGCCAAGAGCTTAAATGAGATGTAATAATGTAAGGCAAATTTGACCTACTCTGATTTAAAAAAAACAAAACAAAAACCCTCATGTATTGGTTTAACGTAATGTAAAATGTCAGTCCTTGGTCCGGATTCACATTTGGACACAAACCACTGGGTATTTCCCCCAGTGACTGCAGCTGCGGTTGTGTTGCTGGCACAGCCCGGGCGGTGCCGCAGCCCTTGGTCCCCTGTGGCTGTGATGGGGACCGGGACGGGCGCTGCTGGTCCCACTTTGCCTTTGCCCCTCGCAGCTGTGGGGCAGCTCTCCGCTCCGCTCCTCCCGTTCCCTTGCATTGGAGCCCAGAGGCCAAAAAGTCCACCTTTCTCCTGCCTGCGGCTGCCTGCGCCTTGGGGGGAGCCCGGCAGGACTGTCCGAGTCCAGGACAAGTAAGTCCTGACAACAGGTCCCCGCTGCCCGCACACCTGCGCCACTCCAGGCTCCGAGAAGTGCAACCAGCAATGAATTACAAGTACCAGGGGGTTTGGTCTGCCGGGTCCCAGGGGTCTGTGAGCCAGGTCCTTCCGTGCCGGCGGCCGGTCTTGGCTGCGGCACTGCCCGGCACGGTGGTGCGTCGCCCTGCCCCACGCCGTGCTGATCCCCCCCGTGCCCCACCTGGGCTGGTCTTATGCCTCTGGGACAGATTTATGGGCTTGAACTCCAGCCCTGAATTTCCCCCGACATCCAGCTGATGTTCCCCTGGCTACGACTGAAGTCCATTAATTCTTGTTCCTTGGTTGTTGACTAATGAGAACTATCGATCTGTGTCCCGTTCGTCCCTTCCTTCCCTTGGTCACAGGCGCTGCAGCTCCCTGCTTCTCCTGTCTCCATATGTGCAGAACGTTAACAGCACGGGCTGACAGCTGGCAGCCCCCCCCCCAGCCAAATCTAATCGTGCCGGCCGCGGGGACGCGGGCTGCGAGGCACAGCCGGCTCCGGCTGCTCTCCACTGCTCTGCCATCAAGTCAGTCCCGCAGCGACGGGGAGAGATGCCAAATCCCCGGTCTGGGCCGTGGCGCTGCGAAGGGCAGGCTGGGATCCTGCAGCGTGGGGCTGCGGCCGGGCGGGAGGCTGCGGTGCCTTCGCGCAACCTGCAGCGTGCAGACGGCTTTCTCCTCGATACTCATCTGTATGTGTGTGTGTGTGTATGTACGTATATATGCGTTTCAAGAGACGGAGTCAAGTTTCGTCAGGAGCAGAAGTCTGTTAGCAAGAGCAGTTGTGCATACAGGCAGGGGGAGCAGGAGCCGGCCCTTCTCAAGCCGCGGTTCAGTCTCTTGGTAGCAAGGACACGGCCGAACGGCCACCCCTTTGCTCGCAGAGGTGACGGTGCGGTTTTGCACTCGCTGTTGCTCCAACGCTCTTGTCGAAAACTTGCCCGCGGTGCCCACGGCATCCCCGCCGCATCCCTGCGGCATCCCCACGGCGCACGGCCCTGCCGAGGAGGGGATGCAGGCACCAGAGCCTCCCCCGTGACCGGCGTGCGGTTGTCACCCGCCGTCGTGAGCGCTGGCGCTCGGCGGAGGAGGCAGCGTGGGCGGGAGGGCAGGAGCCGGGGCGGTGGGGCTGGCGGCGAGGGCAGGCGTCGCGGGAGGTCGGGTGCGCACGCTCCGGCGGGAGCTGCGTGTTTTGGAGAGGGCCCCGGCGGGCATCGGTGCCTGGCTGCCGCGCACGCCGTGCCGTGCCGTGCCATCCCGGGGCGGGCTGCCATGGGAACCAAACCTCGTTACTGGGAGATAAACAGTTGGACGTTTTGGCCCGGTTTCTGCAGGACTAACCTGGCAGGGACGAGAGGAAACTAAATTAAATCTCAGATTTTTCTGACTCCCAGAGTAGCATCTGGCAGTACCGCTGCGAGTGACGGCTTGGTTGTCTGCCTGGGAATCTGTTGGTGTGAAAGGGACAGGGTATTTTAATCAGATAATCGGTGGCGGGCCGAGGTTGCACCTTTTCGAGGTTTAGGGACCTTTTGTGGGGGGCTTTCGTGGCAGGTCCGTGGCACAGGGGCAGCTCCCCGCTTCCCTGGGGTCTCGCATCCTCATGACACCTCTCACTGCCTCCGAATTTGGCGCCGGTGTGAGGTGCCCTCTTAGCAAGGGGGTCCTCGGCCAGGCCCTGCCAAACTCACGCCAGGGTGTCCCTGGGTTTTGTGCCGGTGTCACCGAGCCAGAATCCTCCTCCACCGTGTCCGTGGCACCGGGAGGGCGATCGGCCGCGGATCCTGCCCAGGCAGGGAGGGTGCCAGATGGAGGGAAACCGTGGGGATGGGTTGTCATAGAAACCCTGCTGTCCCCGGCAGAGCTCGGCACCACCGTCACCGCACCGTGCCCCAGCACCGTGCCCCAGCACCGCAGCTGGGCTCCGGCTGGCTCCGGGGGACGGAGCCCGGGCGCTCGGTGGGGCAGTGAGCGGTCCCAGCCCGCCCTGGGCACGGGGCTCTTCAGATGACTTTTATAATCTTTTTATGCTGTTCATTTTTTTTCTCAGATTCAAGATACTATTTTACAGGCAGCCCGCACGCCCGCGGCTTTGCCAAGGAAGATAAGCCCTTATCTCCCGCCTCACGCTCTTGCTCGAGGCGCGGGGGAAGCTGATATGCCTGCGTTTGGTTTTTCAGGAAACAGGAGCTGCTGAACAGCACGGATGTGACCGTCCCGGAGCGGCCGCTGTCCCCCCCTCTCACCGCCCCGCCGACCATGAAGGTGAGTGTGCGGGTGACGCCGCGCCGGCCGGGCGACGCTGCGCCGGGCTGTGGGCGCGTGGTCCAGCCGAGGTGCTGGTTTTGGAAACTGAAGCTGGTGAGGAGCGGCACTTCCAACGCAGCGGCTGTACGGATTTGGGCTGTTCCCGAGGCAGCAGCAGTAGGTGGTTTCTGGAGTTCAGCCTGCAGCGTGTTCAGACACCATCAGCGGCAGCGGGGCGTCTGTGCCGGCGGGCCCCATCCTGCACTGCCGCTCACGTTACGCAATCACGAGCGGCGATGCCAAGCAGGGTGCAGAATCCCAGTGCCGTTATCCCGCTAATTGCCCTCCGTGGGCGCCGTGGCGGGCGGCCGCCTGCCAGCACGAGGCAGACGGTGCGTCCCCGGCAGGCAGGCGCTGCTGGCAGGGTCCGACCCACCGCTCGCCCCTGCCAGGACCGCTCGGCTGTTGCCTTTTGCCGTGCCGGAGGCAGCAGGCTGTGGGACACGGTGCTTCCCCTCCGCTCTGCCCGTGCCGGGCTGCCTCTGCAGGGCTCTGCCCCTCCTGCAGTTTTCCCAGACCCAACGGGAGAAGGTCACGAGCAACCTGGTCAGACTTGGAAGCTGGTCCTGCTTGAGCTGGGGTTGACTGGGCACCTCCACAGCTCCCAGCTCGCAGTTATCTCTCCCAGTCTCAAGCGAGCGGGGAGTGCGCACCGGGACGGTGACCTGGGGCAAAGCTTCAGAACAAATTGAGCAGGAAAAGTCAATCTGAGACATGGAAATGAATGGGAAAATAGGATAAAATGCAACACGGCTTCACCAGAAGTAGCTTCTGTCAGAGTAACCTGAGACATTTCTGCGATACCAGAGTTTCCAAAGGCAATCGTAGCTCTTCTCCCCAGGTTGCTGCAGAGCGCTCAATATGCTGCCACCCGGGAAATTACTCATTAAGCTGGAGAAGATGAGATGGATGTGAGGATTACGAGGTGGCTGACAACCTGCTTAAATGGTTGTTAAGAGCAAGTGGGCTTGGAAATAGAGTATTGAGCTGGAGGAGTTTATTAGTGGAGCTTCTGATGATTTGGCTTATTTAGGGTTTTGTGTATGACCTGGGCATGGGAAGGAGCTGGCACAGTTCGCTGGTGACACGAGCTGTGGCACCTCCTTGGGCTGCAGAGGAGGAGAGGGGAGTCCTCGGGGGGGCTGAAGCCTGGAGTGATGGGAGGGAGCAGGGACGCGTAGTGTGCCGGGCGCGGGAGGTGCCGGTGTGCCAGCAGCAGAGTGTGCTTCCCAGTCCTCGTGCCAGCAGCGTTCCTTGCCGGCCTTGGGCTGGCGCCCGAGGAGGGGAAGCCAAAGCCCCCGTGCTGTTTACCAGCGTCGGAGGACAAGAAGTTTCCTGGGATGGCACTGGGCGATGCGCAGCCCTGCCAGGGGCTCGGAGGGATTTCACCTCGGGGGATGTTGCTGCATCCCACAGCGGGATGCCTGGTGCCCACCCTGCCCGTGTACCACCAAGGAAGTGGCGAGCATCCGTGTTTCTCCTGTGGGCTGTCCTGGGCGAGCGCTGTGGCTCCTCCACAGCCCCAGCCTGCCTGCTCTGCCCCTGCAGGAGGAAACAGTTGGTGCCATTTATTTTGCCTTGCAGAAATGTGGTAAATTGCTCGGTAACACCTGGCTGGAGTTCGGGTAGGACTTTCTGTGGCCGTGAGCGGTGCAGCCCCGCTGCGTTCCCTGGGGCTCGTCCTGGTGCCGTGCTCCATCGTGCCTTCCCAGGCTTTACAGCAGCACCTGCGTCCTGAGAGATTCTGCCTTTGTCTTTGTCCTTGTCATGTTTTAAATGGAAATTCTGCCTTTTAATGAGCCTGTGAGCCGAGCAGGATGAGCCCTGCTGTGTGGGTGTGGAGGTCACCCCCGGTGCCGGGGTCTGCTCCCTGCCCAGGTGCTGCTGCAGGAGGGGTTACGGGGGGCGAGACCCCCGGCACGCCGCAGGTGTGGGGGTACGGCTGCTCCTCAGCTGGAGCTGGGGCAATGCGGGACAGCGGGAGGTCAGGCTCTTTGTCGATGTTTAAACTTCAGTTCAAGGCTTCCCTCAGCTTGGGAAACTTGACACGGAAACCTATGGAAAGCCTGGCATGGAAAAAGTATGTAGATGCTACTCTGTATGTGTCAGGTAACGTAAGCTCCCCAAAAGCAAACGCTGAGGTCTTTTTTTTTCACGCATCTCAGAGATGGCCGTTTCTTCTCTCATCACAAGCTGCACAGCCCTGTCTCGCTGTGGGTGCTGTGGCTGGGGGGAGGCTGGTGATGGCTTTGGCTGAGGACACACCGGGGGACTGGTCTCCACGGGCAAGGCTGGAGGCTGCCTGTTTCACTGCTGGTTCTTCATTTTTATAATCACGTCATTAAAGCAATTAAAAGGCGATTACTGACTTGTTCTGCTTTACAGCAGGATTAAAGGGCTCCAGAATCTTTTACAGATGGCACAGGTTGTCCTTTTGGAAAGGCGAGGCAGAGCTGGGAGCCCGTGGCATGTCCTCCCTCCCTCCCTCAGTCCCCGCTATGATGGTGATGGCAGAGCCTCTGTGGTTGTGGCTGGCCATGCTGGCACCCTAGCCAGGCAGCGGCAGAGGAAGATCCTGCATCTTGCGTGGACACTGCTTTGCCAGGTGCAGGTAGCTCCCGAGGTGCCAAACAGAAATAAATCCCTATGGTCTTCAGGCTGGGGGCTGTCTGTGGGCCACTGGGTTTGTTTGTGCGTCTCCTTTTTTGGAGCTTCCCCGTGCCCCTGCTGCCGCTTTGCTCTCAGCTGCCGTCGGCTCTTGAAAGGCAGGGGCTGGTATGTATTTGCTGACATTTAAGAGATGGAACTGGAGCTGCCTGGGAGAGGAGATGTCAAGGATTAAGGAGCCATCAGCTTGATGATGGGAAACCTGGGGTGACTGTGGTTGGGAGGCAGAGACCTGGTCCTTCTGGAGATGTCGGCTTGGTCCCCCAACCGTCACGGTCAGCGTGGGGGATGCTGGGCGGTCGCTCAGCGCTCGCGTAGCCGAGCCTGCGATCAGATGCTGCACGGCATGAGTGCATTGAGTCGACATCCTTGGTGCTCACCCTGCTCTGCCCTGCTCTTGGTAGACTTTAAGGTGCTTCCCAGAAATCTGTGCAAGACTTAGTGTCATGGAGAGGGACAGGGGGTAGGTACAGGCCTTGGAGCAGGGACAGGAGCAAGTCCCCGTCAGCTGAGACTGCCTGTGAGTGCCCTCCCGAGGGGCACAGCGCATCCCCCCGTGGGGCTGGGCATCCCACTGTGGGGCCGTGCATCCCAGCAGGCGCCTCCCTGTCCCCCCTGCAAACCCTCACCCGCTTCCTGCCCAACCTGTTTCGGGCACTTTGCCTCCCAGGGGAGCCACCCTTTGAAATAACAAAGCAGCAGTCCTGCCGTGCCTCTGGCTGGGAGAAACATTAACGAAGGGAGGTGTCGGGGCTGGGGCTGGATGGCCGGGCTGGGGCTCGGCTGCTTTTGCTGGCCCCCCGCGAGGAAGCGCGGTCGCGGCAGCAGCCGTGGCGGCGTGGCTGATGCGGGGTGGGGTGATGCCGGGAAGATGATGGATTTCTTAAGGGGACTGCTGGTGAGTGCTGTGCGACCCACGGGGGGAGCGCCGCGGGGGGGGCTGCTGGGCAGAGCTCTGCCCCGCTGTGCTCCATCCTTGGCGGCTCCCGCCCGGTGCAGGGTTTTCTTTCTGGGTGTCATTTTCTTTGGAAACGTGCAAAGCAGGCACTTACTGGCTGGGCTGCAGCTTCTGCTCTGAGTGCCCCTCGTCCGCAGGTACCCCCTCGCTAACCTCAGCCCGGGGTGCTGGGGCGGTTGAACAGGCACTGTGTGCTCCAGCCGGCTCGGCTTTGGACCCCGTGTCTTGTGTGGTGCTGACGGAGGGGAATCACGAACTTTTCTGTGCTAAAGCACTGGGATGTGACTGTCCGTCTCCTCTCACGCTTAGCGTAGCACGCTCGGCAGTGAGGGGTGAGGACACGTGAGCAGGAAAGGAATAGCAACTATACCATTTCGGGTTGAGTATTTTGCATTTCTGAGGTTGTTAGGACAAGCTGCTGGGCAGGTTTGTCCTGCCGAAGGTGGCGGGGAAGCAGCTGTCCACTCTGGTGTTGCCTTTTGATTGCATTTAAGAAGCAGATGCAGGTTTAGTTTGGAGCAGACAGTCCCAGCGACCCAGGCTGGGTGAGTGTAACCTTTCCTGCTGGCTGGGCCAGCGGCAGGTGGCATTGCTTCCTGCTGGGTGTCACAAAGGTGTAATTGTCTCCACAATAATTACCAAAATATTTGTGGCCCAGGAAAGTTGGCTTTAAGTATGCATAAATCCCTAAAGGGTACAGACTGCTGTCTGCTTTATTAAGTACATGTACACATTTTCTGCTGAACTTGCTTTAGCAGGTGGATCTGGTGCTGCCGTGCAGTTTGGTTCTCTGGTTCTGGCTGCTGGCAGAGTGCGACCTGGAAACTATTTTAATTGACTCAGAGAGCATTGCTCCATCGCAGAGACCTGAAGATAAACTGGAATCTAAACCAAGCTCAAAATAAGGAAGAGCCTTTTTAAAGTGCTTCCAGCTTTGGGCACAGAGCCCTTCTGAGCCCAGGGTTTGTTTTTCCTCCCATAGGTGCAGTAGATAAAAACGGGGCATAGAAACACGGCCAGGGCTGCTTCTGAGCCACGGCAGTCCTTGCCTGTGCTGGCAGCATCTTTCCCCCATCCCAGCTGGTGTCACTGAGGGCAATCACTAGGCTGCTCGTGCTGTAAAACTGACCTTTGCTCTCCACATTTATTAAAAGAAAATCTCTCTGAGGTTTTCCTTTGGTCTTCGATTTTCATTTCTTCACCTCCTCCTCTGTTTTTTTCTCTCTTTTTTTGTCTTTTGTGAAATTCAGTCTATTCTGAGAGCTTACTAAAAATCACCCCCATGCTGTGACCCCTTCTGCCCCAAATCTCGCATCCCTCTTCTGCAAACCATTTCTGATAGCCAGCAGCATTAGGGCTGCTCATCCCGCTTTCTGCTCTCCCTCCTGGACCGGCAGCATCTGCCGTGGTCCCAGCCTCTCCTCGGCCTTATGAGCCATGAGCCCGTCGGCTGCGGCCGGAGCGCAGCGGGTGGCCGGGATCAAACGTGGGTTAGAGGAGAGGTGAGGGGAGGCTGGGGGAGAGGAGGGATGCTGCTGCTGCTGCTTCATGTCTCCAGAAGAGCCAGTTGCTAGTTTACTGGGAGTGCCCCAATATTTACAGCCATAGTTTGACTAGATAATTTATTTGTGTGTACTTGAGAGCAGGAAAAGCCAGATGAGGGATCAGGATCGTCCCGCTGAGGTTCAGGACCGAGTGGAAAAGGTGGCTGGCGCCTGCCGAGCCCCAGAGCAGCTCAGCGGCGGCCGGGACCGGGGTCCCTTTGGGCAGCGCAGGGGGATCAGGGAGGACGAGGGTTTCCTGAAATTCCCCCCCTTGCCTGCGGAAAGGGGCAGCTGAGCAGGACAGAGGTGGCTTTAACACGTCTTGTGGAGAGGTGGCGAGGGGCTCTTCCCGCTCTGGGTTTGTTGGCCCGGAGCCCCCCACGCTAAGCGTTTCCAGAGGCGCAGGAGCCGCGTGCGCCGCAGCGGCTTGGGATGCTCTGGGGGCTGCGGCACCGGCACGGCCGGGGAGGGAGGCAGCAGCCCCCCAGCCGGGCAGTGGTGGGCTGGGGGAGCAGGACGAGCTCTGGGCTGCTCTCCAGAGGAGCCACGCAGGAGCAGGGTTTTTAATCGGAGCCTGGGGCTCGCTAATCTCTTTAGTTCGTTTGGCAAGTAGGCCATTAACCCTGCACAGGCAGCCCAGCCTCGCCGGCAGCCGCGTTGCCGGCATTTCCACAGCCGGTGAAGCGCAGAGCCCAGGGCTTGCACCTTGCGAGGTAAGGGACGTGGGGAGGGCTGCTCTAGGTGTCTCGTTTGCCAGAGGATTTATTTGCTTCTTTGGATTGATCGGTCTGCGCCTGTTTCATTTCCAAAGGGAAGTTTTTTGCTGCTGGTTTGTGTGCACAGACCCCCGCCTGCCGGGGGCCTGCAAAGCAGCAGGAGGGCCGTGGGGGCCAGGACAAGCGTACCCCATCCCTCTGCCCGCCGTGGGACCAGCTCTGCCCCATGTCCTCAGCAAAACCCCTGCCTACGGCCCCGCCGGGCGCCCTGCGGCACTTGGCAGCCATCTGGGTTTTCTCCCCGCCTGATCCCCGAGATCCAGCGCCCGCACTGCAGAAGCGAGCAGCACGTTGCGGAGCAGCAGAGCATGGCCGCGGCGGGTGCTCTCCTTCCCTTCCTCCTGCCGGGCTGTCCCCTGTCCCACAGGGCAGGATTGTACCAGCAGCTCCGCTCTCCCTTTGGCACCTCTAGCCCACATCACTGCTGCAGAGAGCCGGGAAACATGGACCTCAGAGACCTGAGAAAACACCCAGGGAACAAAAGGAACCCAAAGAGATTGCCCAGCCGATGGTGCCCACACTGTTGTGATTAGAAAAAGAAGCGACTAAAGAACCATTATCAAACTGTACACAGAGCGGGCTGGGAAATTGTTGGGGCTGAGCGTTACTGGGAATGGCGAACGCAGCAGTGAAGCCCGAGCTCCGAGTTGGGCTGGACGGCAGCTCCTGTGGCTGGCAGCCGCCCGCTCGCGAGCAGGGAGTGCGACAAGCGCCGCAGCATCGCTCGGCCCGTCTTCTCAGGCTTCTTTGGAAATGAAATGCAGAGCAGGAGGAGTTAGGGAGGTGGGGAGCTCCTGCCGGTCGCTGCTCCGTGCGCTGCCTGCGGCTGCAGCGGGAGCACTTGTTGTGGGATGGCCACTGGCCCCGGGAAGCCGGGGCGGCTGCGGGGCTCTGTCCCTGCCTGGCGGTGGGGCTGGATGGGGCATGTTGAAGGCAGATGCCATCGGTTATGGACAGAGACCCTTATTCCTGTTCCTGTTGAGGGCCAGAGCCAGAGCGCCCAGTACGAGGTGGGTGGTCCGGTGTCCCTGCCTTGGTTTGGCTTGGGCTGGCTTGCCTCATGTCTGCTTTAATTGAACAGGAGGTTTCCTTCTTTTCTTTTTCAGTCTGCAGAATTCTTCGAAATGCTGGAAAAAATGCAGGTGAGCAGCAGCGTGCATGCCAGTAACGCGGGACTTTCCCCACCCGGCAGAGGCTGCAAGGATGCAAATCCCACAGCACCTCGTACATTTAACGTGTTGGGAGGCCTTGCACGATCGTAACGTGGTTTGAATTGTTGCTGAAGTCGCCAGCGCTGTGTGAGCCCCGCTGAAAGGGGGCACGGCAGGCGCTTCCCAGCTCAAACCTGCAGAGAGCTGTGCAGAAATGCCCCAGTGCGTGGGGGGAAAGCAGTGGTGTCAGCAGCGTCTTCCTCCGAGGTTGTTCTGCATCTTCCCGAGCAGTTTTGCAGAAGAAGGTTTAGGTCTTGGCCTGTGTGTCGCCAGGCAGGGGCACACACTCAGAGACGCGGTCCCGTTGCTCCCTGGTAAAGTCAGGACGCCGCTGCCTGTCTTTGCAGACAACAGGCTCTGGTACAGAGCACGGCTGGGTCAAGCACTGTCTCGGTACCCCTTGGGTCAGGGCAAGGTGTTCTCTAGTCCCACGCTAAAACACATCAGGATCTGCCCGAGGAGGAGGGTCAGGGGACCAGGGTGTCCCTGGATGCCTGGGTGCCCACGGGAGGGACGCGGGCAGGTGGCACTCAGCCCTGATGCCGGGATGCTCGGTGCTCCCCCGGCATGGGCGAGCGCTAGCAAGGTTTGCCGTCCCGGCGCTCCTGCCTGGGACAGGCACTGTGAGATGGTCGGGGCCATCGCCCTGCCACGTGTCGCGGCTGTTGTCCCTGCACCGCAGGAAGGCAGCGCAGGGATTTCCTTTAGGAGCCCATCCCGGAGGAATTAAGGTGAAGCTGGAGTGGGATATGGGGCATTTTGTGTTTGGTGCTGTGCTGGCACCTGGGAAACCTGCCTCACATTTAGACATTTTCAGTGTGGTGTTGCTGTGTCCCAGGTCTTGTCCAACCACATCCCCGTCACCCATTTTCACTGTGTTACAACGGGGTCTGTCCTGGCATGCTGGCAGCTCTGCCTTGTTCATCCCGGGCAGAACCCCCCTCCTTTCATGCCACTTATGTCAGAGTGATTTCTGTGTAGCAAAATACTCTTGTGGTTTCATCTGTGTTGTTGAAAACATCTTAATAATTTGATTTATTTGTTTTGTTCCAAACAGGCACCAAAACTTGAGGAACAGAGAACTGGAAGCCAAAAACATAAGGTTGGTTGAATTTTGTTTCTTGTGTGGATCTTTTCAAGTCATACCCCCGCCTTATCTCAGGGCTTTAATGTGTATAGTCAAAGACAGTCACTCAAAGGACTAAAAAGGATTTAAATGTTGTCTAAAAAAAAGGCACTGACTGAATTGCAAAGATGAGAGAGTGGTGCCTGTAAATCCCTAATCCAGCTTTATGTCCAAACCTGTGTATTTCAGCAGTGAGCTCTGTAAAATGGTTGGGTTCTGCCGCAGAGCTGAGAAGCTTACGCCGATAACGGAGACCCCTTTGGAAAATGATTTACCCTGCTGCAGTGCTTTCCTGCAGACCCTGAGCATCCCCGGGCAGTGCGGTGACACTGCTCCCGAGGCTCGTGCCCATCCCATGGTGACCTCACCTGGCAGCATTGCTCTCTGTTACCGCCTGGCACTCGGTGCAGGGTGTTAGGACAGGAGGGACCAGTGCAGCGGGCGGCCAGGTGCGCTCCCTGCGTTGGATGTGCAAGGCTGTGGTCTTAAGGGACGGCTGGTGGGGAAGAGAGTCTCATACGCGCTGTTTTGATTCCTTTTTCAGGAAGACTACATCCCGTACCCCAGCATCGATGAGGTGGGTGCCCTGAACGACCCTGAACGCCTTCAGGCCAATGCCTTTCCAAAATTGCCAGTAACAGGGGAATTGGTGGAGATCCTGTTTCCGAGAGGAGCTGCGCAAAGCATGCTCCCCGTCCCCACCTTTGCCGTTGCTGCTTTTCCTCGGTAGCACGTGCCCTCTTCTAGGAGAGAGAGAAGAGGTTTCAGAGAGGGGCTGGATTTGTCCCCCACTGTGCCGGGGCTTGGGGCTGCTGCGGGAGAGGGCAGTGGGGAGGGGGGGGAAGGACACGGGGCGATGAGCCCCTGCACCCCACGTCCGCACCCCGGTCCTGCCCGACCCCTCATGGGCACATGTCTGCAGATCCTAGAGAAGGGCAGCCCGTACCCGCTGATCATCCTGCCCCAGTTCGGGGGATACTGGATCGAAGACCCGGAAAACCTCGGTACGCCCACCTCGTCCGACAGCAGCATCTGCGAGGAGGAGGAGGAGAACCTCAGCCCCAGCACCTACGGCTACAAGCTGGAGTGCAAAGGAGAGGCCAGAGCCTACAGGAAGCATTTTCTGGGGAAGGTGGGTGCCCCTGCCGCAGGGGGCAATTGATCAGCTGAAAATTGCATATCCCCCCCAAGAAAAAAAGAACAAGTTCTAAAACTGTGAGCAAAATGGGCAAATTTTGCAACTTCCCTCTTTGCAAGGAGAGGAGGGGACTGGCAGGTTACCGGCCGTGGCAGTGATGGCCACGCACACAGCCTCTGCCCCGGCCCCCGCAGCTGGCAGGGCCCCCCCAGGACAGCGGGTGGGCACGCGGGCTCTGAGCCTGCCCTGTCTGCGGGGACCTGGGGCTCGGCCGGGCTCGGGGGACCCGGCGCGGCAGCCGCCTGCCTGCCCTCTTGCTCACAGTCTCGTAATCCTCTTTCTCCCTCTGCACAAAGCGGAGAGCAGAGTGCTAAAGTCCATGGGCAGAGGGATTAAAGCCCTGGTCCCCACGAGGAGGGGTGCGAGCGTGTGTGCCCCAGGGCGGGAGGGTGTCCGGATGGCAGGCGAGTCCTCTGCTCCGGCCGGGACGCGGGGCAGCGTCCTTGCCATCAGCAAGCTGCCTCCCCTAACGCGCTGTTTTCTATTTTTAGGATCACTTAAATTTTTATTGTACAGCCAGCAGCCTTGGGAATCTGATCCTTTCTATTAAGTGTGAGGAGGCAGATGGCACTGAATATTTAAGGATTATACTCAGGTATGGAAAAAAAGCTTTGTTTAACAAAATATTTTCTCTTTAGGAGTCCCTTGTTTTTTTCCACAGTAAATGTTAGAGCCGGGGTGGCAGCACGCTGGCTGTCGCACATGGAGGGGGTTGGGGTGGAATGGGGAGCAGCAGCATCATCCTTTTACTGTATCTGCGCTGGGACTGCCTGACCCCTGATAATGAACATGAGACTTTGATCTGTTGCTAAACCCGCTGAAACTGAGTGTAAACCTCTCCGTGACTCGGGATAATACCAATCACATCTATCGCCATCCCTCTGTAAGCTGACAGGACCCAGTGCGTCTGAACCATCATGTCATTTCCCTCCAGACTATGAATATTTTAAGAGCTGCAGAGATGAGAAGAAAAATTGAGCTTTTGCTTACTAACCAGGCCCAACAAATTCTGCAGAACATCGTTTCCCAACAGCCAGTGGAGTAGCCCTGCATGCATGCTAAAGGGCTGGTCAGCGGAGGGCTGCAGCCGGCGTCTCTTTGCCTTAGACGCTGCCTGATGTCTGCTCATTTCTTTTTCTTTGCTAGGTCCAAAGTGAAGACGTTGCATGAAAGGATCCCCCTGGCAGGATTTAGCAAGCTCCCTAGTATCCCCCAGATTGCAAAGGTAAAATCCCGGGCTGGGCCGGGGATACCTGCAGCAAAATCTGCGCCGCTGAGCCAGGCACCTTGGGCAATGTTGGGCAGCGTTGGGCAGCGTTGGGTGGCATTGGGCAGCGTTGGGTGGCATTGGACAGCAGTGCCTGGGCTCTCAGGTCCAAGGGCGCTTGTTGGGTGGTGGTCAGCGCTGGCCCTGCTGTTGGTTTCCTGCTGATTCTGGGCAGGTCACTGGTTGATATCTGGGGGAAGAGGTGAGGACGTGGCAGCACCTTTGACTTGTCTTCCTGCATCCTCAGTTTGGTACCAGCCAGGCCACAGGGCATCCCCATGAGAGGATGTGAAGAGGGGAGCTCCTGCAATCGGAGTCTGGGTTTCGTTCATTTATAAGACATTCACAGCCTTGCCATGGAGTTTTGGCAGGACAGGGACGTCTGTCCTGCGCACCCGGAGACCCGGCACTGACTGCTCTTTCCCCTTGCCCGCAGGCCTTCTGCGACGATGCCTCCGGGCTGAAGTTTAACCCGGTTCTGTACCCCAAGGTGAGGTAACTTACCTCAAGTTGGTCATGTATTCAGCAGGGAAGGTCAGGTAGAGTTAACCCTCCCCTTTTCTCCAAGATCCAACAGCTGCTTTGGTAGAGAGCACGGATATTTGTACTGCATCTTTCTAGCTCTCTAGAGCTGCAAAGGGGATGTGAGCGGTGCAGCGGTGGTGGGCCATGCGTGCGTCTGGGCAGCAGGTTAGCTAATGGCCATCTGATGGCATGAGCCTGCCACTGTCTTGTTCTGTCAAGTGGCCACCAAGGATCGATGGCACTTTGGTATTAATCTGCCCTTGGATCATGGGGAAGGAGGGAAGGGTGACTGTCTGTGGGGTGTAAAACCAACCTGGGTCTTGGTTTGGTGCCTTAAGGTTTGCTTGAAACCCAGCGAGACGGGTTGAGTCTGTGCTCGAGAAGCCCTGCAGGAATAGATGTAGAGGTGGGTGGGTCACTGCGGGGGCTGGGGTTTTTTGTCCGGGTGGCAGTCCCCACTGGTGACGTACCTGGACTGACTCACCTGTTCTGGGATCGCTCCTCCTTGTGTGCGCTCTTGTGCTGCCATAGAGACCTGCTCCCGGGAAGGTACAAAGCACATCCATCATTTTCAAGTACCTTTTATGTTGAAGACTTTTTCTGTGGCAGGCATAGCAGTAAGTTATAAGGCAGTTTCATCACCCTTTGATGTAGCCAAGGTCAAACTGATTTTGTTCATCCATTGTCATTATTGATGTTGCTATCAAACCCTTGTCTGGAAGTTTGAGAACAGCCGATGCCCAGTCGGGGAAGACGGACGTCTCTGACTCGGTCCCTGCAGAGCGAGGCTGGGACTGGGGGGCTGGAGCGCTGTGGGAACTGCCATTATTTGCACCCAAAGGGCCCCAAACTCCCCCAGAAAACCTGCGAGAGGTCAGGGCTCCCCGTGCCCCCCCCGCCATGCCTGGGCGCTGGGGCCACAGCTCGTGCCCACCTGAAGCCCACAGGCATCCAGACAGTCTGTCGGCGATGCAGGCTGCAGGGATGCTGATAACCAAAACTGGGGCCACTGTTGAAATCTTTTGGCCTAATTATGTGGAAATTTGGCTTCTGCCCCCCTTCCACTCCCTCGGGCGCTGCTGCCGTACCCCACTGCAGCTCCAGTGGGCTCTCCCCCACTGCCCGCCACAAGGAGCCGTACTGCGGCCAGTGGGCGATGGCGAGCGTGCCGAGCGGAGCCATGAGCCTGGCCAGCAGCGCGTGCCGAGCAGGGTTTGCTCTGCCGGACATCACGTTTTGAACTACCAAATGAAATAATTCGTATTTTGTTTTACTGCAGGCATCCCAGATGATAGTGTCTTATGATGAACATGAGGTCAACAACACGTTCAAGTTTGGTGTGATCTATCAGAAGTTCAGGCAGGTGGGTAATCCCCGTGCCGTTCTTGCGGAGCGCATCCCTGCTTGCCAGAGGTCTGTGTTTCACAAGTGCAAATTCAGGCCTACAGTTAATTCTGTCACGTGTGACACGTCGTGTTACTGGGTGTCCTCACTAATAATGCATTTCTCATTGCTTGGATGTTTCCCCGACTCATTAAAAAATGATGTGACTGAAAAAATTCAGTATGGAAATCAGCCCACAAGCTGCTGTAGGGAAAAGTGGATGTGAAAATGGATTTTAGCAGGCGTGGTATTTTAATCAGATATATGTTTAGACACTGAAACAGTTACAGTTGTCTGGGAGGACTGTGGGCTATGAAGACATGTGTTTGCTGAAAATGCTATTAGCTGAGGGACTCCGGATGGGGAGTGCAGAGGCAGCTCAGTCTTATAACTCACCAAAGATTATTCTGACAGGCACTCTAATTATCTCTACATATTGCATTTTATTTTGGATTGAGTAATTCATGCAAGATGATAATTAAGGTCTCATTGTTTTGAAATATAGCACGCAAGGGACAATGAAGACTTGGGTTTTCCAGTGTAGAATCCATTTGTGTTTTGGTGTTTCCTAAACGTTATCGTAAGGTCCTTGCTGTTGGTCGGAAGTCGCTCTCAGCAGCATCGCCTTCGGGTGCCAGCTGGGGAGCGGAGGCACCCCGGGACGAGGTGCTGGTCGTGTCCCCGGGGACCCTGTGGATGGGGCAGGAGGTGGCAGGAGACGGGCAGGCAGGGAGAGGTGGCCTGAGCAGAAATCACCATCAGAGCCAGGGTGGGACGGGTTCCTTTCCCTGTTGCTGTGGCACTTTTGCTGATAGCAAGGTTTGATTTTAAGAAGATGCTCGGAGCAGGGTGACACGCAAGAAGGCGCGTTTCGAAGGGACCTTTCGCCTTAGTGGTGTCCGTGGTCGTCGTGTCCGAACCACCCGCAGCCCGACAGAGGAGCAGCACCGGGAGGTCCCCAGGGGCGCAGGGCTGTCCTCGCGCGTGGCAGCCACTGGGGATGGTGGCTTTGGTCACGCTCGGCTCAGGCAGCACAGGGGCCTCTGTGGCTCCGTCAGACCGATGCCGCGGTGGCAGAGCCGTGGCCAGACCCTCCTCCTTCCCCCGGGAGCCGGCGTCTACTGCAAACAGGCAGGGCTGGGGCTCTCAAAAGATGCGCCCTGTGTTTTGTAGACCCAAGAGGAGGAGTTGTTTGGCAATAATGAAGAGAGCACTGCCTTCAAGAACTTCCTAAGTTTTCTGGGAGACACCATAACACTCCAGGACTTCAAAGGGTAAGTTAAAAAGAATGATTTTACAAATACATTTAACAAGAGACCATGTCATATGTAAAAATATCTACCATGTGAGAACAGAAGTCATCTCACTCATGAGCGGGATGTACAGAGCAGAAGCGAATATAGCTTTGGCTTGTTTTTCAAAGCCGGGGGAGTTTTCCAAAAAAAATTTGGAGCTGCCAAGAGAGAAAAACTTCCTTTCCTGCAGTTTTGAGGTTGTGAGAAAATCTGGCTATATTCAGCCATAGACGAAAGGAACTTTGTTTGGAAACTCGCCCTATCCGGTGCTGTGGACTCAGCTGCGGCGTTCCTCCAGGGCAGTCGCTGCAGCAGCCACGGTGGGGCCAGAGACCCCCCGCTGCCAGTGAGGGCTGCGGGCTGGCAGGCGCGGGCAGCCCACCGCAGCAGCACTTGGGGCTGCCGGTCCCGTGAGTGGCACCCCCGGCTGCGGTCAGCCCCGACCAGCCAGCACCGCTCTGCCGCACACCCTGAATTTCAGACGGGTGATGGTGATGCTTGGTTACAATACATGACGCACGGTTTGTTCTTTCCCGTTTGCTCGCTACTAGATAAAGATAAATGAGCTGGTTTGTTCTATCACCCTGTCCCCTGACAGCCGCCGGCGGTCTCTGCTAAGCTTTCAATTAATATTTCTTCGTTTCTCCCTGCCTTTCCCTTCGTCTCCAGTTTTCGAGGAGGTCTGGATGTCAGCCACGGCCAGACGGGAGCAGAGTCTGTGTACACGGTGTTCAGGGACAGGGAGATAATGTTTCATGTCTCTACAAAGCTGCCTTTTACCGAAGGAGACACACAACAAGTAAGAGAGATGAGCTTCCCCGCACCGCAGCGTCTGAGCCGGGGTGCGCTGGCGCTGCTCTGCCCAGCGCCGCCAGCCGCCGAGCCCCAGCGCCGCGGCATCCTCGGCGGGTGGGTGGCAGCGCGGGCAGCAGCCGGGTGGGCTCCCCGGTGCGCGGCAGCCTGCGCGCCCGGAGCTGGTGTTTGCTCCCGAGGGAGCAGAGCCGCCTGGCTTTACCGACCAGATGTTTTCCCTTTCTGCTTAGCTCCAGAGGAAGAGGCACATTGGCAACGACATTGTGGCAATTATCTTCCAAGAAGAGAACACGCCTTTTGTCCCAGACATGATCGCCTCCAACTTCTTGCACGCCTACATTGTCGTGCAGGTGGAAAACCCCGAGGCAGATAACACGACATACAAGGTGAGGGGAATCCCGACTTGCACGTGCCCAGTTTTGCTTCTGCATCTCACGCCGAGGTCTGGAGGCAGCTGCCCAGTGGCTGCCCTGCCCGTGTGCTCAGTGATACAGCCAGTATTACACCTAACTGATGTATGTATGTGTGTATTAAACATACATACACCCCCCCCCCGTATATTTATGTATGCACTATCACGTAATGTGTTTACATACATATGTGTATAAAATATGTGCATGTATAATAGCATGCTCATTCGTTAAAGACTTTGATGCTACTCAGTGTTTGAATAAGCCTCCAGACAGCTCATACCCATCTAACACGTCACTCAAGTGTAGGTAGCATAAACCCTCTTACCTCTCTGTTTTCTAGTAAGAGAACCAGAGCCACAAATGAAAACAGAATTCATAGGAAGTAAATGTAAAAAGCGTGCGTGGTTAACTCTCTCATGAAAGCGGGAGCGATGATGGATGAAGGCTGGGGAGGAGTGGTCTGTCTGGCAGGGCGAGGGCTGTGGGGTGCCCCTTGGCTCTCAGGCGCTGGTGCATCTCAGCGGGGCTGGGCTGGGGAGAGCATCGCCAGCCCCACACTGGCCACCCTCCAGGAGAGGGACATCTCTGTGCTGGGTGATGCCCTGCCCTGCTGCACCCACAGCAATAACGTTTCTCTTGGCTCCACAGGTGTCGGTCACGGCCCGGGAAGATGTCCCCTCCTTCGGGCCGCCCCTTCCGAGCCCGCCAGTATTCCAGAAGGTAAGAGCTGAGATGGGAAGCATGTTCCAAGCCATAAAAAAAAATATGTGTATGCCTGAGATGTTTCCAAGCTCACCTGCTTAGGGAAAACATGACTTCTGGAATTTACATGGATTTATTTTGATTTCTAGTGAGGCCCATGGGGTTTATGGTAGGGCGGGAGACTGTGCACCATCACACAGCATAACCCGTGCAAGGCGGCAGCTGCGGCTCTGCTGCCGGGGCAGCACCTGTGTCAGTGTGGGGGGGACGGCCAGCGCAGGAGGGCACCCCGAGCCCATCTGGGGTTTTCCACCAATGCTCCCACATCTGGAGGGGGCTGCAGGGTGCTGTGAGCTCGGTTTTTGGGTCGGTACAGCTCCGGTACCAGAGATACGCAGAGTCTTACGACAGCGGGTGTTTTCCACCGTGGCTCTCTCCCCACCAGAGCCCCGAGTTCCGGGAGTTCCTGCTGACCAAGCTCATCAATGCTGAAAACGCCTGCTGCAAGTCCGACAAGTTTGCGAAGCTGGAGGTAACGTCGCCCACCCGCCCCTGCCCAGCGCCGCGGCAGGCGCGGGGAGGCCGTCGGCATTCCTCCTCGAAGCCGCGTTTCCCTGCGCTGAGCTGGGTCAGCGCTTGCAGGGACGAGTGACCGGAGTGTGCACGTGTCTCAGCTCGCTCGATGGCCGCGGGACCCCACGGGTCGGTGCCGCTGCCCCCCTCCCTCGGTACCCCCGGCTGAGCCCCTTCTCGCTCCCCCAGGACCGGACACGGGCTGCCTTGTTGGACAACCTTCACGACGAGCTCCACGGGCACACGCAGACCATGCTGGGGCTGGGGCCGGAGGAGGACAAGCTGGAGAACGGGGGTCACGGAGGCTTTCTGGAGTCTTTCAAGGTAAAGCCCTGTCCCTTGCCAAAAGCGGAGTTAAAACGCACCCGGGGCTGGCAAAGCACATTTTGGTGGAAGGTGCGGATGAGCAGCGTCGGGGGACGAGAGATGTCCCCTGAGAGCAGCGCGGCGGGAGGAGGTGGGAGCTCGCTGCCACCACCACCCACTCACCCAGTGAATCCCCAAGCTGGTCCCAGTGGGAGCAGGCGCAGGCTGCGTTGTTGGTCAGTGCCACCATCGGGGTGACCTCTCCAGAGCCCCTGAGCACCAACTCTCCCGCTAGCGTGCTCTGGCATTCACCGTGTCTCCGGAGGGGTCTCGGTCCAGGGCCAGCACCCCAGCGCGGGCTGCGCCTGCAGTCGGGCTTCGCTGCTGCAAGGCAAGTCCTGCTCATGTCCCCGGGGTGCTGGCTGTCCCCGCTGTGCCACCCTGGCTGCAGGACGGGGCTCGGGCTGGCGGGGGAGGACGCCCGGGGGTGGCTGCCACAGCAGATGCGCAGGAGGTGGTTGTCGTGGTGTTAAACGGGAGACACAACGAGAGGTGCTGGGTGCGGAGAGGGGAAATGGTGCTGAGTGTGTGCTGGGAGGGGTTATTGGGGGTGTAAGGGGAGAGAAGGGAGAGCGGGTTGGGAGAAACGGGGGGAGGAGAAAAAGAAATGAGATAAGATGATGTGGATGAAACTGAGCCACTGTTGGAGGTAGGGACAGTGACCAGCTGGGAGCAGGGGACGTTCCTCGAAATGGAGGGGCAGCTCTTGAGTCTCAGGGGACGAGCTGTTGCCAGAAGTCTCTGGTGAGGCTCTGCTGCGACAGTGGTGGGAAGGGCTGGCACGTGTAAATCTGGGCTGCGCTCACAGGGGGGTGTTCAACGGAGCCCCCCAGCCAGGGCACCGCGTCCCTGCCGTGGGTGACGCCCGTGGCTGTGCTTCTGTCCGTGCAGCTCCCCGACGCTTCTCCCCATCCTGCTCCTGGTGTGTCGGCTCTGCCTGGCAGAGGCCGTTTTAGCTGCATCTGCAGCGGGGAGGGGTGCTGGTGGGGGGTGGCCGTCGCTGTCCCGGGTGGAGGAGCTGCCCCGGCTGGGGCTGTACGGAGACAACTCCTGCAATCACCTTATAGGCACAGTTTTCTCTGTAGTACAGAGAAACAGGCGCTGGTAGGAGATGAGTCACCTCATCCTGCACCCAACGGCTCCAGAGGAGGGATGAGCACCTCCCTGTCCCCCGCTGCGGGAGTGGGTGGAGGCTCAGGTGTGTCCCGTTTAGGTACGAGATACGTCGTAGCAATGGAGATGCTGGGCAGTCACGTCGCAGCGTTCGCTTCAGGGTCTGAGGCGCTGGTGTTAAATAATCATTTTTTTGCACGCTTTTTGCGTACAAGAAAGTGGACTTTGCTTTCTTGGCATTGCAGGGTGTGCCGGGGCAGGCGGTGAGCTCCGCGGTCCGGGCTGGGCTGCGTTTGCCCAGCCGCCTCGGGACCGCGCTGCTGGGCTGCCTGCTAGCTTATGTCCTCCACCGCGCGCTGTCAGAGTGAACGGGGGAGAGGAGAGACGGTAAATAAGAGGGCTGGGAGGGGGCCAGACCTGATCCCCACCGTTTCGTTTTGACCGGCTGCCCAGAGGAAAGCGGAGCTTGTTTCTGCTGGGCTCTGAGCAGGCGAGAGGGCTGCCTTCGCCTCCCTGCTGCGGGGAGAGAAGCCGCTGGCCAGCCCCCCCACCCCGGGAAGGGGTGTCGGGGTGCCCCACAGAGCTCCGCGGCCTCGGCAGCCCCGGGCAGAGACCTTCCTGCCTGCACGGCACGAGCGGCCGCCAGAGCTGCTGGCAGCAAAGCAAGCAACCGGTTACTTTTATCTGCGAACACTGTCAAATTTTGTATGAATTCCTGACCCTAATAAATCAGGTCTGATGGACTCTTGCTTGGTGTTTGTTACTGCATGGGCAGGAGGGGACAGCGCGGGGCTGTCGGGGTGGCCGTGGTCCCTGGCACGGGCTGGGTCTCGGTGAGAGCTCGGGGCTGCGGCTCCCACTTACCCTGGTGCAGGTCCGCCTGCAGCTCAGTAACCCCTGGAGCCAGCAGCAAACTGGTGCTTGCGCACCGTGGATGCAGTGCCGGGCATCTCCAGAAATCTCGCCCTTGATGGCTTGTTTCCTCCAAAATCTCTTTACCTTCAGCTGGGATTCAGGGGGCTGGAGGAGAGGTAGCCATGGCGCAGCGGATAGCGCAGCAGCAATTCAAAGGGAATAGCTGCGAAGAGAAACTTTCCTTTAATTGGCACACTGGCATCACAGTCCAGTTTGGGCTCCCATTACTATGGTGACTGCAATAATTGAAATATGGGTGTAGATTTTTTTTTTTTAACTTGTGCATTTCACTGCTGCTTTTCATAGCGTGTGCCAGACTTTCAAAAGATCTCACGGCCGTATTTGTAAGTGCTTGGGACAACAACTGAGAGAAGACTTTAAAAATAGTTCAGGTCCTGTTTAAGCACCCAGATGAGTGTTCGGATCTGCAGAAGGTCTCTGCCTCCGGTATGCACAGCTCTGCTTGCAACAGTTTGAGTCAAAACAGGTTACAGCAGTCCTGTTCCTGCGCTTGTGCCGCCGATGTCTGCAGAGCCCGGCCGTTGGTCCTTTCCCAGGGGACGTGGAGAGCTCCGCGGGGGCTGTGAGTCCCATCGTGTCCATACCCAGCGCGGCACATCTCTGGGCTCTGCCGCAGAGGTGGGTTGGACTCGGTGCTTCTTGTCTGTGCCTGGGCAAGGTACGCCTGGCCGTCGGCATCCTTCGGTGCGCAGAGCTCCGGTGGTGCTCCAGCTCTCCGGGGCAGCCGGAGGGAACGAGGGCACAAGGCCTGGCACTGGGCATCTCGCTCCCATAAAAACCAGCCTGTGCCAAAACGGACACGGATGTTTCAAGGCAGCTGGGAACAGGCTTTGGTTTGCTGAGTGAGCAAGGTGCCTAAGGCTGTGCGGGAAACGCAGCCCTCAGCCCGGACTGGGAGGAGGCTGCAGGCGCTTTGGTCAAGCGGTTGGATTGCAGGAGGAGTTTGGTGCAGCGGCAGTTGTGGTCGTTGATTTGCTGCATCCAGCAGCGGGGATGCAGCAGGAGAAGCCACACCAGGCTGCAGCACTGGCACAGGGCACGGTGGGGTCTTGGCTGGAAGCTGCGCCCAGACTCGGTGATGCGGCTCAGGCAAGGGCAATCCGGAGGAAAGCGTGTCCAGAGCCTGGGGGATCATGGCTGATGTGAAGAGTGAAGGAAGGGGGCTGTTTGGTTGGGAGAAATGAAGACCGAAGGGAGCAGGGAGAGTCTGTGGCTGCCATGGGGATGATGCTGTGCAGCTCATCTCCAGGTCTCTTAGAGATGGATGGGCCAAACAAGCAGCAGCAGAGGTTCAGGCTAAAAGTATTTTTCAAGCGTAAGCACCCTGAAGAACAGAAGTACTTTTGTGAAGCGGCTGTGAAGCCTCCAGCTCTGGGGATGTTTTGGGGCAGGTTGGAGAGGTCCCTCAGCACACAGAGAGGTGCAGGCAGGGCAGGAGGCTCCACCTGGGACCCGTCCTCTCCGAGTCCAGTTTGAATCGCGGGGCGGGTGTGTGCATCCAGACACTGGCTTACAACTCAGCTGTGGTCCTTGTTCCTGCTGAGGGGCTTTCGGAGGTCAGCCAGGCAGAAGGCAGGGCTCTGGGGCTCATGTCTGCCACTCCTGGTGCTGTAGCTGCAGTCCTCGTCCCTCGCACGCAGTGTCAGGGTGGCAGTGGGGGGAAAATCTGATTTTGTGGCTGTGGGGCTCCCCGAGGGGCGATTCATCCTCCGGCCGTGCAGTGCAGTGGCTGTTGCCGTTACCTGCCGGATTGTTGTTGGTGTGCGCTGGCTCTCGGGGGGGAGGACCAGGCAGGTTGCTTTCTGATGTGCTTGGGGGAGACCTGGGGCTGGGGAGGGAGGGGGTTTGGGGTTGGTGTCCCCGCAGGGTGGTGATGACCTGCTGTCCCCTGTCCCCTCCGGCCTCAGAGAGCCATCCGGGTGCGCAGCCACTCCATGGAGACGATGGTGGGCAGCCAGAAGAAGCACCACGGTGGCGGCATCCCGGGCAGCCTCAGCGGGGGCATCGCGCACAACAGCGGTGAGGTGACCAAGACCACCTTCTCGGTGAGTGTGGCCACGTGCCCTCCATCCTGCTGTCCCTCTGTCCATCCCTCTCTCCCCAGCCTGGCAGGGCACTGCAGTGTGCTGACGTAGTCTGGCAGTCCCCTGCACAGGCAGTGAGTGTAAAGGCGAGAAGACTTGAGCAGAGCATGATTTTATGAATGCTCAAGTTGGGCTTGTTTTGTGGGAGAACCAAAGATTGGCTTCTGGGGGTTTTCAGCCCCAAAGTACAAAGGAGATACAAAAGAAATTCTGGCATTATGTGTTTTCGGGATGCACAGGCTGAGAATTGCGGGCAGCATGGTTCCTCGTAGGATGTTTAGTCTTAGGAGCTTCTAAGGAAGGAGCTTTGCTCTCCAACCTGGACTGTTCTGTGCTTTCAGCCCCCCGTACCAGCGGCTGCTGCCAAGAACCAGTCCAGGAGCCCCATCAAGCGCCGTTCAGGGCTGTTCCCTCGCCTGCACACGGGCTCTGAGAGCCAGGCAGAGAGCAGGACAAGGTGGTAAGTTTGACATCGCCCTTGTTAAAAACCCCTATTGCATGTTAAACATTAGAGAAGTTGTTGGTGAGTGCTGGAGACCTTGCCTGGGGCGCAGCCTCCCCTTTCCACACAAGCCAGCAATGAGAGCTGCTTTTGCCGTGTTTGAGGAATTGTGCCTTGGATCCCTTCCCTCTGTTTTAAATCGAAGTGGTGGTATCCAGAGAGCATCTGTGACTCTTACAGTTTAGCATTTGGTGTTGGGGAGTATAATTTGACCATCCTTTTTAAGTCTCTTGTATAACTCATGCAACCTGTCTCTTTGTGCCCTCAGCGACAGTGTTTCTGGAGCCCAGAAGACACCAGATTTGGGACATTCTTCCCAAGAAATGAAATCTGAAACCTCATCCAACCCAAGCTCCCCTGAAATATGCCCCAACAAAGACAGGTGAGCCAGGAAGAGCCGCATCGTCCTCTGACCAGAGCTCAAGTCACCCTGTAGCTCACAGACCATCAGGAACTTTGTCAAACAAAACCATCTCCAGGTTTTACTATAAATAAGTTTGATATTAAGGGAGGAAAAAAAAAGATTCTGGTGATTCATGAGCGCAGCTCCTTTATGGTCTGAAAATAGCCATCTTTAAAAAGAAGAGGAAGAGCAAAGAGCAGTATTTGACAGAAGTTGCCCAAACCCTCACGGCACGGGAGCTGGGGAGGTCCGTGGTGCCCATCCCTCCCTGCCGCCGGGGAGTCAGCCTGACCCAGGGGTTTCTGCTGGTGGCACCCACCAGCTGCTTTATCCCATGCTTTTGGAAATGGTGACTTACAGAAGCACCCCGCTATGTTCATCCCTACGGCAGCAGCTTTGCTCTGGGGGTGCGTAGGAGGGTCTGTCCCCGCTGCCGTAGCCCAAGGGACACATCCTTCTGAGTGACAAAGCTTTGTGAATGACAACCACATGCCCCTTGTTTTGTTTTGGCTCTTTCTAGGCCGTTTATTAAGCTGAAAGAGAACGGGAGGTCGAACATCTCCCGTTCCTCCTCGAGCACCAGCAGCTTCAGCAGCACGGCAGGGGAGAGCGAGACCCTGGAGGAGTACGACAGCGTGGTAGGCGCCGAACCCACCCCGCGGCACGCGCGGGCTCGGGACCCTGCAGCTCCGCGTGTCCCTGGGCTTTTCGCTGCCTCCGGACCCTCGGGTGGTCTCTGTGTGGGGGAAGCGCCCACTGGCCCCCCCCGCCAGGTGCCTTCTCCCCGCTGGCATCGAGGGAATTGATTCCGTCCCCGGGTATGGGGAGGAGGAGGGTTGGGGTGCCCAGGGGAACACCCCAGCGAGCTTTGGCATGCACTGGGCAGCGCTCGGCGCACTGGGGATGGGAGGTCGCTCCGTCAGGCTGAAGTCTCCCACTGACGAGCAGGGCTGTAACGGGGCATCAGCAGGGCGCGGGGAGAAAAGCTGGCTCACAAGTGAAAGCCTGTCCCAATCTCTCTCCGTGCAGGGAAGCCAGCCGTCTACAGCATCGCCGTTCAAGCAGGATGTGTTTGTCTACAGTGCTTCGCCCGGCAGCGAGAGCCCGAGCGTGGGGGCCACGGCCACCCCCGTGATCATGAGCAGGAGCCCCACAGGTGGGTCACGGGAGGGCTGGGGGGAGGCACCGGCTCTGCCTTCGCTCCTGCAGCCCCTGGGGTCCCGCAGCGGTGGGTCAGGATGGGGTCCGTGGGTCTGGGATGGCGAAGCCCCCTCTCCAGCCTTGCCCGGGCTGCAGGCAGCTGCCGAAGGTGACGGGGCGAAGCAGCGGCCGCGCTCGCCCTGGTGGGACAGGCATCCCACGGGATGCGGGGCAACCTCTTGCTCGTCCTGAGATCCTGATCCTGACGAGGCTGTTCTGGAGAGACGGCCCCGTGTGCTTTATTTCGGTATTTCCATGGGGAATTTGTTTCCCTTCTAAATTAGAGCGCAGGGGTGGCTTTTGCTGTGGCTTTGTTTCCTCCCTTCTCCCCTGACAGGCTTGTGCAATAGTTGTGGAAACTCGCTGTCTCCAAGGCCCGAGCCATGACTCACAAATTATTTAATAAACAAGCAGCTTCCCTTGGTCTTGGCTCCATTACCCCTGCTGCTAACTCACTCACCGACTCCATCCGTTTCAGTCAGTTGATTTGCAAAATGAGGTGCAATTCGACAGGGTAAAATTGGCAGAAACGGCCCTTCGCTGGTGCGTCCTGCGGTGACAGCACTGGTGACGGCGCGGTGGGGCTGGGGGATGTCTGCAGCGCTTGCCCCTCGCCCATGGATCACCGTGGCTTTGATTTCCTCATGCAGCAGAGCACCTGCTGTAAGGCACCACGATCCAAATGAAAACGCACGTTATGAATTTAGGAGCTGTTTGCAAAACAGCCAGGGAGGCACAAATCCACCCTGAACAGCTCTGTGACTGGGAACAACGCGGGGGAAAAGCTGGGCTGCAGAGTGCAGTCTGGCTGGCTTTTTCTACCTCAGCACCCCACAGGTCCTCCTCCTTATTTCATTAGTGATTTTCTGAACTATTCAACCAGCCCCTTTTAATGTTTAAAGTGTTTATTTTGTATTTTTCCTGCCAAGAACATGGAAATCCACCCATACATTATTCGGATCAGTCATTTCTTGTAGCCTTTTCAGTGGCATTTCCAGTAGAAAGACTGTGAAATGTAATTAAGCCTCAATTTGTTCCATCAAAAACATTTAATGTACAGATTTTGCCAAACATTCAGCCAAGATAGACTAAATATTGGTAGCGCTCATGACAGTCTATTGAAGTGCCTGGCTGTCAGGCTGGGCGAGCGGCAGTCAGCACTACGGCTTCAGCAAATATGTTTGTTCACAAATTATTACTTTTCTTCTTTGCTTTTCCCCTCCGTCCAGCAGATATAAAGAACAGAAACTCTCCAAGGTCAAACCTGAAGTTTCGCTTCGACAAGCTCAGCCACGGCAGCTCCAGCACGGTAGGTGCCGGCGGCTCTCGCCAGGCGAGATGCTGCGTGGCTGCATCCTGCCCTGCCGGGTTGCAGGTGTGCGGCACGGGGGGTCCGGGGAGTGCGGGGGCTGCGGAGCAGGAGGCAGAGCCTGCGAGGGGTAGTCGGTGAGGGAGGGGAAGGGGAAGGGATTTCATGACTTCTTGCGTCTTCATTTGCAACCCAACCCATATTCTGTTCTTTGGTTTAGAGCCACTAGCAGGAAGAAGAAGTCATGAACTTGTAAAAGGTGAGTGTTTGTAATACAGTGTTGTGCAAAATGACTTGTCTCATCTGTGGTCAAGTCTGTATAGCTAACGGCCAATTGCACTGTTTATTATTAAATATGTGATCAGTAATATATCTTAAAGCATCCTAAACGCTTTTGTAAGGTGAGGGCAGCACTGAGTGAGAAAAACTGTAGAGGTTCGTGACAGACAGGTCTGTGCCCATCTGTGCCACTGTGTAGCTGTATGTGTTCCTTTCTGGAGTTCTGGAGTAGGTGCTCCCACAGCGCTTTTGCCACCTGCTCTCAGGGATGATGGGCCACAGCCCAGTAGGTTTCATTTTTTCCCAGTTAGCCTTTATGAAACGCTTGTGCCCATCTCTGCAGGGAGGATGAGGTTTGCTGCACTTTGCTCTGGGCACTGGGGGTGGAAAAGCAGAGCAGGTGTCCTTACACCTGCCAAAAACCAGATGGAAACGGCCAATTTATGAGGTGGATTTTATGGGCAGAGGTGAAGGGAGTGCAGCGTGATTAGCCTGGGCTCTCGGTGGCTGGGGGAATTCCCGTCCGGCAGCATGGCTTTTGCCCCTGCACAGGGCCACCAGCATGAGTGGGTGCTTTCACACAGGAGGCATTTTGCAAGCCATGAGGAATTTATTTACTGGTTTTCTTGCAGGCTTTAGTTCCTGGAGTCCTATGTCATGAAATCAGGGTTTTCATTTCATTTCATCATTTTTCATCAGGGAACATGAGGAAGTTCATAGCTGAGCAGAAGAGCCCATAAAACTTGAAATGAGAGAAATTTCCATTTCTGAAAGCAGGGTTCTCAGAAAGCCATGGTTTCAGCCCATCACTGAATTTCCTCCTCTCCCGGCCCGGAGGTGATGAGCAGCTTGTTGTCTCCGGGATGGGCACTGCCGCAGCTTCAGCTCCCTCCCTGGGACTGGTGCTTCATAGCCGTCACTGCAGGAGTGAGAATATTCTCCTTCCACAGTCTCTGACGCTTTTATCCTTTTCCTCTTTGCAGAGAATTTTTGTTTCAACAAAGGGAAAACTCTTCAACATCCCGTGGGAAAATGCACGCCCCGGCCGCGGGCAGCGAGGTGCCCTCACGTCCTGGCTGCCGCTCTGCGCGGGGAAGAAGCTCTCACCTTGCTGCGATCTCTGCCCCAGCAGGGACCCAGCCACCTTCCCACCGGGTGAACCCCTCGCCAGCAAACGCCCCGCACCCCTCCCTCAGCGCCGCAGGAGAAGACGTGTCTCTGACCGCGTGGCACACGCGTCCCCCCGTGCTGTGCTGTGTTGCCCCATGGGTGCCCGTGTGTGCTGCGGCTGATGGGTACCAGGTGGGCACCATCCATCCCCCCCTCCTGGCTCGTCAGCCGGCTGCTCTCGAGCAGAGGGGAAGCAGGATGGACCCCCCGCACACTTCAGGTCCCTCCATGCTTTATTTGCAGTTATCAGTGGGGAAACAGAGGGTTTTGTGTTTGTTTTTTGGAAAGGCGGGTGGTCAGGGCAAAATTACGTGTTTGCTTGGCCCCGGGGCAGTTCCCTTGCCCCATCGTTTGTCGTTGCTCTCCTCTCTTTGGAGACAACGGGGCAAAATTTCCCCCCACGGTGCTGCCTGGGCAGCTCTTGCCAGCACTGCGGCGGCTGCAGCAGCTCACCAGCTGCCCCCTGCTGCCTCCCCCCTCCAGCTCACTACCCACATTGCAAAGTTGTAGGGCAGATGCAGCCTCTTAATCCATACTTAGTTTCTGGCACAAGAGGAGGACGGGCGAACCGGTCCCGGGGGAGCACAGCTGGTGACTGGGGCCAACTCATCCTCTCGGCAGCTTTGGAAATGGTTTATATGGGCTCCCTGCTTTTTCCATGCCTGAAACTCTGAGCACAGGCCTGGAAAAGATTAACCAAAGCTAAAGCTGTAGTATATCTAAATACCAGAACTGGTACTCAGAGTGAATTTACCCGGTGGGCTCTGCTTTACCCTATGGGTTGGATCACCAGGCAAGCAAATGCTAAAACTCCAGAGATGTGGAAGGCATTAGGCTGCTCCACCCCTTGCAGAATCTGTCCTGCTGCTTTTGAATGTGCTTTTGTTTATTTTGAAAGACAAGGATTAGGAATTCTGCAAGGTGGCTTCCCTGTAACACCCTTTTCCAAAAAATACCTCTCTCAACATGCCAAGAAATCCTTTTGCTCTTTTATGGAACTTCGTCTAAAGTTTACTGAAGTCTGTCCATGAATTTCACATTGCTCTGATTTCCCTTACCAGTTTTCTGAAAGGTACACTGCAATGCTGCAGAGATGCTCCCTCCCACTTACCAGAATCTGTGACCTTTGCAAAAACCCCCATGAAATAAGGTTCTCAATCTCATGTGAAAGCAATTCTTTGAATTCATGATTCCTAATGAAAACAGAACTTTGAGTGCCAAACTTAACTTTACACAGCTGGAGCTCCAAGGGGCACAAAAGGATCTGACAGCCAATTTTAGGAGGCGCACGCAGAATTGCACGCCTGGAAGCAGCCCTGGGCAGCCCCAGTGGCTGCTGCTGCTCCCAGGAGGATGCACCTCTCTCTGGGGGCAAGTGCTTGTAGAAGCAAACCATCACCTCCCCTGCGCCCCGTCACCTCCCCTGGACCACAGAAAAGCCAGCTGAGCTCTGCTAACCGGGGCTCTGTGTGGTACTATCTGACAACCTTACTATTTGGTTTGTATACGTGCTCCCACTAGTGCATGTAATTTCTCCATTTGAAAAGAAAAGGCTGTAGCCCTAATGGGAGAAATCAGATGAAAGGAGGAAAATGCATTGTGGGAAAGGCGGAGAACAGTTTCACAGGCACTAAGTGCACTGTGTAGGACTAGTAAATACCAATAACCACCAGTGGGGACACTCCCTCCTGCTTTCAGTGAGTTGCATTGAAATAGAGTTTGAATCTTGAGGTTTTTCTTTGAAAGAGGAAAAGCACAGTGTGCTTAGCCTGGTCTGTAGCTAGCTCTAGGTGTCTCAGGTTCCACATATTTTGCTCTTCAGCACTTCTGTCTGATGATGCTTTGGTAGCACTTTCAAACCTACCCCGAGTTCTTCCCTTTAGAAGCTTTTGGTCTGGCTTTCTCATGCTGCGCAGTGAAATACTGACTGGTGCAACGACTTGCTTTGAGGGTGTGTTCTTGGTTTTGCTTTTTTTTCCCTGAGAAGTTGCTTGATTCTGTAGATGTTGTTATTCGCATGGGTGATGATCTCTGTGAGATCTTTCAGCAGAAGATGCAGTGGCTACTATCAGCTGAGGTTTTAATTTTTGTTTTTTTGTTGTTTTTTTTTCCACTTGAAACTGTGACTTTCCTTTTTGACCTAGATTGATTTGTAGAATTATTTGAATGGGATTAACAGGCAGGCGGGACAGTGTGAAGCTTTAGGGAGAGAGACGCAGTGTGTTGGGCTTGCCTTTCCCTGCGCCAGCCTGCTGGAACAGCAGCGGGGCCCAGAGCGGAGGTCTGGCACAAGGTTTGCCAGCGGCTCCTGCGTGCTCTGGGACATTTTCAACAGCACTCCTCCAGGCTGGTTGTAAAAACCTACTGCAACATCCTTAATGGCAACTGGGCTTTTAAAGCTCCTGTCCTAGCCAAGCTCTAGCGTGGTTTCTGCCTCCCTGCACTGCCTTGCAGCTGTGTGTGCGTGGCGTGCTCCTTTCAGCCCCTGAATTGTCCCGAATTGTCCCGTAGCGGTGCTGGGGACTGACCAGCAGTTGTGTTAAACCTCGGAGGCACTTCCAGCAGTGGGTAAAGGTGTTTCTGTATATATATTGCAAAATGTTTTGTGCTTGTAAGTGACACACACACACATATATATACACATACAGAAAAGTGATTTTTTTTTAATATATGTATGTATATATATAAAAAAGAAAGGATCCTTAACTGACACTAAAATTATTGGGCAGTGCGTTTTCCCTTCTGATCCCCACCGTTTCCATGCACATTACTTCTCCCAGACTCGGAAGTGACTTTGCAGAGGGAGCAGAAGGGGCTCAGAAATGGGGCTGGGGGAGGATCAGGGGAGCCCCCGGCTGCGTGGGGAGGTCTCTCCTGTCACGGGGGGCTGCTCCCCTTCTTGCCGGGGTTTCGGTCCCCCCGCTTGCTCCCGCTGCACCCTGGCTGCCGCTTGGCTTGGACCAGTTCCCGAGCTGGGTGAGAGGCAGAGGCAGGTGAGGTCCAGGTCCACCTCCCCAGCGCCGGAGCTGCAGGCTCCGAGCCCTGGCAGCGGAGCGGGGAGGGAATCCTGCTCCCCTCCGCCAGCGTCTCCTGCATTAGCCCTGGGGACTGGTTTGCAGCTGCGGAGAGCTGGCAGCCAGCTGCTGCTCCGTCTGGGCTTTTATTCAGGAAAGCACTTAGCATGTACTTGCATCCTCTTGAAATCCCACAAAGTCAAGCACAGGATTACACTTAAGCACAACATCAAAGTGCTTTTTTTCTGAGCGAAAGCGGGGGATCCTAAGCACAAACTCAGTTTCTTTCCAGAGTTTTGAGGGTCTTCAGGAGCGGCAGGTGAAGGGGCCAGGATATGTCGCTGGCATGAACGGGCTTGTTAACAGAGGCCGAGGTTTCTCGGCTGTCTTTGGCTGGACTGCAAGAGGTGCTTAGCGCTGATAACTGCTTTTAAGACCAGCGCCTGGTCAGAGCTCAGCACCTCTGCAGGTCATACCTTGCACTCACGTTGCTTTGCTGATGTTCCAACTTCTGTCCCACTAGAGCTGGCAAAGAGTCTGTCATTCCCCAGTCCTAGAGCATGCTTTCATTATGTTTTAATGAATGTAGCACTGCGTATATCCTGCAAAGGGAAATGCTGAATTTATATCATTAGAATGTGAAGAGAGTTTATAGAGTGAAAATAAATCTTGAAGAAATGTATCTGACAAAGTTTATTTTTTATGTAGAGAGGCGGTGCTTTGTAGTTCCTGGTGGCCTATGTCTGTTGTAAATAATGTACATTTAATTTATTGCTATGGTAGCAGATTGTATTTGTTATGTATAAAACTAAAGGTTCACAAATGTATATTTTGTTGCTTAACTGTGTCTTTGCAAAATTCACAATAAATAACATATTTTGTGTCCATATGTGTACTACGTTGTGTATATCCATAAAGTGAGTGAGCTCTTTGGGAACAGACAATGATCTTCTTTACATCCCTGTAAAAACCATGCAACGGCATAGACCGGGGCTGAGCTGTTACTGGTGTGAATCTGAGTGAGTTCACATAAAATCACAAACTGAAGTAGAGGAGTGTCAGAGTGCAAAAATTGGGATGTCTCTGCTGATGCTCGTAACGCTAGGACTGGATTAACAGAGGTGGACCCAGCTTCTCTTTACGAATGCATAGCAATTTTAATCAAGTGAACTGTTCTGTTTGAACTGGAATTAGTACCCCATAAAGCTCAGTATAAACCAGTCTCTCAATATAAACCAGTCCCTGTCAGCAGCCAGCCCACATGTGGTAAAGAAAATAAACAGGCAGCAATTCAGTTTGTCTAAACCAGCTTAGCTTACCTTGGATCATCAGTCTCTGACATCTTGGCTGCCTTTGGATGTCCTCTGTGAGCTAACAATGAAATTGGATTTTCTTTCTCCAGCTCCTCAGGCTCCTTTCAAATCCCCCTAATTTCCCAGTTTTCTTCCTCTCAGGACACTAAGAAAAAAAGCTGTTATTGTTTGGAGGTGACGTGTCTGGTACATTTTCTCCACGGCTCAGGCTGAATGAAGCACAAAGCTATTAGCCAGCATTAGTTTTTTAACATCTTCTGACGAGGGGAATGAACCCATTAATTTGTACCTGTGAGAATAAAATACTTGTCTTTGCCAGGAAAAAAATTCCATCACGAGGAGCGTTTTGTTCACCCTCCATCGTGCAGCAGCCCGGCTCGGGTGCCTGATGCCCGCAGACCCTGTGGCAACCCCAGCTCGACACCGCAGGGGATGCACCGGCAGGACTGGTTGCAGCTGCAGCTGTGGGCTGTGGGTGCCCGGGGAGGGCTGAGACAGGGTCCTGGGTGGGTGCTGGCTGCAGCGGCGGAGGGGATGCGCTGGGGCTGCGGCTGCTCTCGCCCAGGCGCAGCAAAGCCAAGGGCAGCCTGCCCTGGAAAGGGGCTTGGGCAGTGCTTGAGCTGCTGCCAGCGCTCAGGGGAGGTCACCCCAGCCTCCTTTAAACTGGGGACCCAGGACTTTGCTCTGGGTTGCACGCTTCTGCCTAGAGCAAAGTGTGAACTATGGGGACGTGTTTGTCAGAGCAAAGCATGAGCTACGGGGACACGTTCGTCAGAGCCACCGGCTTCCACCAGGAATGGCAGATGAAGAATAAAACAAAACCCAAAAAGTTCCATTTGTCTTTATTGGTGTAGAAATCATTCTCAGTTACCAAACCCAAATTCTCCCCTTGTCCATGATGAACCAGCACGGAATCTGTGTGTCACCATATCCCATCTCTGGCTAAAACAAAGTGAGGCCAGCCCAAGATGAAGCCACCTCTTTCCTCTGGCTGTGGTCACGTTCCAGTTTGCTGAGGTGAACAGCAAAACTGACTGCAACAGCGGTGAGTGCTTTACAGAGGGCTGGGAACAGGCAGCGCATCAGTCCTGCTATGTGCACACGTATAGCTAGTGACTGATCGTTATTAGAATTTGGCAGGCAAGTTGTGGGGTTTTTGGCAACGTGCTGGAGATGTTTCTCCTCTCTTGAATTTTTCACTCGTACTTTTTTTTTTTTTGATTGTTGCAATGAATCAGGATAAACTTATTTGTCTTTTTATGGCTTTTTCATTAGTGAAGTGCCAGACTTGCCTGCATAAAGAGGAAGAAGAAAAGACTTTGGGTGAGCCATCACAGGTGGCCTGGACCAGCCACACCAACCGTGGAGAAAGAGCTCTTCACCTTTAGAGCAGACAGCCCAGAGGTACAGGAGAGCTCTGTGCCCCCCACACCGTCTTCCACACCGCAGTCAGGAGACGAGTCAAGCCTATCCAGACACTGAGCAACCTTTGACGCTTTCCACATGTCAGACAGGGATATGAGTTCTCTCCTCCCACTCTTAGCCTATTTTTGGCCAAGGATGACAGGCCGTGCCTAGCACAAAGAGGGCTTTTGCTGGCTACTGCAACAGACACTGCTCTTGGGATATGCTGACAGCTTTATGTGCTCAAGCCAGGGGCAATAATTACCAAAGGAAAAGAAGTTTCAGAAGAAGAAAAGACTGAACAAGAATGGATGGCGTAGGGATGTGGATCAAGTGCTCACCTTGCCCTGCAATGCACGATACTGAATGCTGTCTCAGTTTTGCTGCCTTCTCTTCCCTGTTGTACATGTCTATCACATCTGAGAGCCCCCGTCCTACCGCCGTGGTAACCACAGACTCTGGAAAAAATGTTGTCCCAATTGTCCTCCTCCTCCCATTTGCTCTGGGATGCCTTGCAGGAGTGTCATAGGTCTGGCAGGGTGCGGAGGCACCGACGATGTGCAGCCCCTGGAGGCTCCGTAGCGTGGTTCCCGCAGGCAGCGGGCTGCCCACCTCCTGCTGCCCTTGCTTCTTGCTGGGCTGCGCTGGCCGACTCACACCGCCTCCACGGTTCCCCAGCAGACAGTGGCCTTCAGGATGTTACTTTCCACCCTCCTTTCCAGATTTGGCACTCAACATGTTTTGTGTGCTGTTTAGAGGAGCTCTGCTCCTTACCTGGCTGGCACTGGAGGTCCCGTCTCTAGTAAGGTTTGGGCTGGAGGGTAAAACAGCAATGAATTAGTGAAGGGTAAAATGGGAAGCACCAAATCTATTTCAGGTAGAAAACGGAAATCAGAAAACACACCTACCTTAGCAGTGCTCCTCGCTAGGACAGGGAAAAAGGAAAAAAAGAGATTATGACTAAAAGAAGACAAAGCATGGCTTCCACCTCCCGGTACTGGTAACCCAGTTTGGTGACAGGGGTCCTGGGGAGAGCCTCGGCCACCCACCCACCATGGGGATGGCTGGCACAGCAGTGCCACCACCAGCAGACGCCTTCCCTCCCCACAGCCCAGATTTGGTAGCCTGGAGGTTATTTTACCTTTGTGGTGGTAGCAAAGGGTGCCTGCGAGGCACGCGGCGAGGCTGAGGAGGAGCAGCAGCCAGGCGGTGGAGGTAGCTTCTGCCCACGAACAAAAGAAAGAAGAACAGCAGAGACACGAGAGTCTGACCCCAGCCACGCTGCCTGACCCTGGCCATGCTGCCATCGCACGCAGGGGACGGGGACGTGGATGGGACCAGCAGCTCATACAGGTCGACTGCAGGGGATCAGGGTGAGAACAAGTACCAGCGAGCAGGCGGTGATCCTGCAACTGCAATCAGGCTGCAGCACATTTTATTGGAGTTCACTGATCCCACTGAATTAAAGGCCAAATTTAGATTTACTCCAAATAGCTTGGCTTGGCACTGCTATTTGGTCTGAAATGCTGTCCTCACTCAATCCTCTCTGCAAAGATTATCTCCTATCTTGCCCAAGACAAAACCCCCCTCACATTTCAAACTTGCTTTGTTAAGAGAGTTCTCTATGTTTTGCTAAGGGCATCTGGCAGATGCTTCAAAAGAGACCCAGCTCTTTCTTATGAAGACTGTTAATTTTGGGCTGGAACTGGCCAGGAACTGACTTCCCTAATAAATGGACATTTTGGCAAAAAAAAAGTGGTCTACCTCATTTATTTAGTTTTGAATCAAGGAGTCAATTTTGTTGTTTTTCATTAAGATGGCAGAAGTCTGATGAAAAAAGAATATTTGTTGGATTTTTTTTTTGAGAAGAACACTGGAAGGGAAGAGTGAGAAAGGGGAAAGATCAGTGGGAAGTTCCCCCCCAGCAATCCCATGGGGTCAAGGGTGCAGGGGACAATGTCCCCAAGTGAGCGGTGTACCCCTCACCTCCGTGGTCACACTTCTTCTGATGGGGGACTGCAAGCTGGGGTGGTCTACCCAGCACGTGTACTTATGGCCACCGTCCTTCAGGGACGCTGTGAGCAGGAAGCACCTGGAGGAGCTGTAGGTCCCATTGCTGCTCTGCGGGTCACCACTCGAGAGAACGTTCTTCATGACATCGGGGACCTTCCAGGTGTCCTTTGGCTCCTGGAGCCACTGAGCCTGGGTGTTGTGTGGGTAGTAGTGCCTGATGTTGCAGCCCAGCTTGTGCTGCTCTCCTTCCACCAGTGACAGAGAGGTGATGTTAATGGTCACTGTGGGTTTTTCTGGTGAGTGAAAATTTATTACACTACTAAGTCTCTCAACTCATAAATTCTGTTTCCATCATTAAACAAAACCAAATACAGTTTTATGTGCTATGCGTCTGAGCACTTCCCATTGGTCTTAAAAAAGAAATCCTGAGCCCATGCTATTACCTTCTATTTGCAGCTGGATTGACTGTACCCCAGCGAGAGAAGCCACTGACACCAAGCACCAGTAGGTTCCTTCCTCTCTCACCTCCGCATCTCTGAGCACCAGGGAAGCGTTTCCCTTCGGGATTTCCTCCAGGACCATCTCAGCCCGGCGAGCCACGCGTTCCACCTGCTCGGTGGTTCCACTGTAAGCGAACAGGCAGGTTTTGTGCCTCCCTTTTTCTGGTGCAATACCCACTGGGTGGGCACAGCTGCCCGGTGGTCCGTGGAGAAGGCAGAGCCCAACCAGCCCTCCGTGGCCAGGGCCGAGCGGAGGAGGGCAAGCACTGCGTGTGGGAGAGGCAGTGGTGAGGGGCTGGGACCAGGCAGTGGTGCCAACACTGGAGGGCTCTGTGTGTGTGTGTGTGGGAGCAGCGGGCACCAGCCACCATCTAAGTGCCCCGGGGCTGTACTGCAGAGCCTGAGCAGGGTTGGGGGCTTGGGTGGGCCAGTTCCCAACCCACCCGTGACTTAGTCCTGGGGGCAAGCCTTTAGCCTGGCTCACGGCTTGCAGGCCACCGGACCTTCCCGTTTCGTGCACAGCCACGGGATGTGACAATCCAGGATGCAGGATGCCCCCCGAGTCAGGAAGGGCACGGTCCAACACTGCCCAAGCAGCACTTTTGTAGCTCGCTTTTCTTCTGTCCCTGAGCCATGCTATATTTTATTCTCAACTCATTTTTATGTGACAGAGCAACAGATGTAATAACCTCTCCGTAACTCTTACTGCAATAGAAGGCTTAATGAACCAGCATTTCTTTCCCACCACACTGGCTGTTGCTTTGGAAATCACTGCAAACCTAAAAGCTGTGAGAGAATGTGCACAGGAGCCTACGTGTGGCCTCAATGCTGGGAAGTGCTAAAGAGCATCCCGACACTTTGGGTGGCAAATTGAAGTCAGCTGAGTGGCCCAATTAACCTGCGGGACTATTATAAAAGGCAGCTGTGTGACAGTAGCAATGTTAGGTAGGCTGCTTGCAAGAGGGTGCTGGGAAGAGCTCTCCCTGTCTTGGCTTCCAGGCTGAGTTTCTGCCACATTTTATCTGCTTGGATGTAGTGAGACTCTATGGTCTCAGTAGAGTGCTCCTGATATGGTAAATAATCCATTTAATTTTTTTTTTTTTAAACGAGGGATAGAGAAAAGGCTGGTGTGGGTGAATCTGAGAAGCTTCGTGTGTAGGCATGGGGTCTGTATGTGCCAGCGATGGGCTCTGCAGCGATGGATGGTGCTGAGCGCTACTGCTGGCTGTTGGTGCTGGCAGCTGCCTGCTCCTGCATCACTGACCCTGCCAGGGTCCTGCTGGGGAGGTTGCATGGGGATGGGGCTGTGAGTCTCTTGCTGCAGTGGCCCAGCCACCATGTTACGGGCTGCTTGTCCTCAGAGCCTTCCTGCTATTTTTAAGCATTGCAGCTGTGTATCTCTTGATCAGATAACACCAGGTCGTGGGGGTGGGGGGTTAAGCAACACAAGTTTGTGGTTTGGAGATGGGAACTAGAGCCTTGCATTCTTGTTCCGACCCTGACTTGCAACCATTTTGCACATGCCAGCTGACCAACCTCTTTCAGTTTCTTCACTCAAAACTTCTCCCTAGCTGTAAAAGGGCAGCTCAAGCTGCAGAGCTTGCTTTCTGTGCAAACACCATGAGAGTGCTCCATCTGCTGAAAAACTAAGATAAGGCTTAATGGGTAAGGCTATGTTAAAGCTTTGGTGATTTAAGTTAGGACTTTTAGTGATGATGGTATGGAAGTATATAAATAGAAAACAATTATGGTTTTGAGAAGCTGTTTTGAGGTTATTAGCTTCTGCAATGTATGTATAATCCTCAACACAAGGGAGAACATATGCTTTTTAATAAAAGCATTTTGTCTTACAGTATGTTAAGAAGTTAGCTTAAGCTATTTGTAAACTCAGGAGGCTTTTAAAAATAGACTGAGGTGCATCATCACAGAAGTCCAGAAGCTAAGTACTGGGAAGTGACATGACAGTGACAATGGTTGCAATGTGTAAGACCGTAGTATGTATTTGTAACACCCCAGTGTAGATAGGAAGGAAAGGGCAGGTTTCCTCCACATAATCAATCTGAAAAAGTCTCAGGTTTGGGGTACAGTTGAAATACAGCGGGGGTAGCTCTTCACCAATTAACTTTTGGGACTGCAGCTGCAATGCCCTGGCCAACTGCATTTCCCTTCAATACTTTGAGTATATGAAAGTCTCCAGGGGAATGTTACTTTTTCTGTTACCTGAAATGTGCGATCGCTGTGCAATGCCTGGGAAAAGCTGTCTGGTAAATAAAGCTTATCTGGTAAAACACAAGATAATAATTATACAGTGCAAAATTCTGGATGGTTCCTCACATAGAAACCAGTATCAATTTTGAGAGGTTTAAAAAGTTAAGCTGTAAAATTAAATAGTGTGAGACAACATTGACAGTTAAACAGTTTAGACATACCTTTTAAAGGAACAGGAATGTTTTCTAGACCTTGCAGATGGGCAAGCTGGGAATTAACAGTTGAATATTCCAGCCAGAAATGAGGAAGTTCCCCAAAGAATCTGGACTCTCAAATTTGGTGGGAGGGAAACTCAAATTCTCCAGACAACTGGAAAATAACTCAAAACAGACTTCTCAGCCAGAATTTCTTCACTCACTCTTTTAGTTTAAACAAACTGCGAGTGTTGTGGAAGCAACCGCCTAAATCCAGGTTGCAGAGGATTTGGGGGATAGTAATTGAGCTAAGTTGTTCACTTTTATAGCTGAGATGGACCAAATCCTTAAATAGTGTTCTTGAGAGTGCTCAACTGCTGGGAGTCCTACTCATCAGGTGAAATACAAACCCAAATATTACAGGTCCTTTTCCCAAGTCAGTCTCTAGTTTGGGGTTATGTTTTCTGGACAGGAAGCTCTTTTGAAGCTGAAGAACCTTCTTCAGTTCTGCCCTAGAATATTTAAGACACTCGCTGTAATTTATTCCAGCAGTAGCTGCAATTATGATATACTGTGTACACAATTTTACAGCTCAGCCTTATTCCATATAATTTTGAACTTGAGATGCTCCAATCAGGATCCTAATTTTCTAGGCTCTGTCTATAGACAGATACACATGATGAGTGGCACTTTGAAACTCTGCTGCTTTTCCTTTTCTTATAAACTACAGAGAATCCAATCAAGCATGAATCCAGGCATAAGAGGAAAATATAAATAATCATTACAGCATTTATCTCCTAGAGGTTTATTACCAGATTACTTACTGAATTAAGATATTTTCTTTGGACATGCAGCTGTCTATAGGCTTGAGTAATTTTCGTACCTGGAAGTGATCTTTCTTTCTCTGTGCTTTACAAGGCATTAGCAGTTTGCCTGGAGTTTTTAATTCATTCAATTCCAGCTTTCCACAGAACTAAGAACAGACTACCCAGCTTGCTTTTGCAAATGAATTGTGTATGTACACAAAACTGGAGCTGAAAACACAGTGGCTTTTGCTTGGCTGCTTACCTGCTTGGAGGACTGGAATCATGGAAAGATGGTTGAGGACTTCTACTGCCCAAGCATCTTCTCTGCTTCTTGTAGGTATGCTCACTATGTCATGACTTCTAGTTCTGATCACAGAAGAGAATAATTTGATCGTTCAGTTACAGGAGCATCTGCAGACATGAAGCATGCTTTGATGCTACAAGCACAGCACAAAATCATACCTAAAGCCTCACATGGAGTCCTTAAGTGGGTCACAAATGCAGCAGCAAGGAGCAGCTGTCAGCCCTTTAGGCTTCCAGCTGACTATTGCGAGCCCATAACCAAACGTAAGTTGCCACGCGGATGTTCTGCCTCTCCTGGTTTGAAAACCTCTGACCTAAACAAGCGAAATTTGGGACCCGCATTAGTGGCAGAACCTGGCGTAGAACCACCTGCCCTGCCTCAACCGTGCTCTGCGGAGTGGGAAGGGAGCAGAGGTCGGGTGTTTGCATGTGGCTGGGGAAAACCGGAGCCCTTCCTCCTTCCCTGCTACACTGGCTTCGTGTCAGACAAAACTTGGTCAGAGAAGCCTGAGGTAATGCCCGCTCCCCTGGGGAGCAGCCGGTGCTGCCCGCTGCCCACTGCCCACACCCCAGCACTGTCAGCCCATGCGGCTCTGCTCTGCCAGGGTGCTCAGTGCCGTCCCCAGGGTGCTCGCTGGCGATGCTCGGAGCCCCGCTGCCACCCACTTGTGAACAGTGTCACTCCAACCCCAATTAAAAGTGGTTAGGCATTTTAAGGCCGTTCCGAATCATCTTCAGAGCTTATCGGATCTGGCAAGAACAGTGCAGTACATCTATTAGGGAAGCTGATAAGAACTTGTCTGTCTTTTTAATGAAAGTCTCTATGTACCAGATAATCATGCTGAATAGTACTCATTGGAAAACCTCCGAAAAGTAATTCATCAAGTAATTTTCTAGCCACTGTTAGAAAGTAGAATGAAGAATGAGGTCACAGAATGGTTTGGGTTGGAAAGGAACTTTAAAGATCATCTACTCCAGCCCCCCTGCCATGGGGAGGGATGTCTTTCACTACACCAGGTTGTTCAAAGCCCCATCCAACCTGACTTTGACCACTGCCAGGGATGGAGCATCTGGGCATCTCTGCTAGGTCACTGGTCCAGATCCAGCTCTGATGGATGGCTTTATGTGGCTTGAGATGCAATCAAGGCAGCTGCTAATAAAAAGCAGGCTTGGTGTTAATATTTAAATTTGGAACTAGGGACAAGAAAATCCAATTTAGGGATTTTTTTATGCTCTTGATACAATATGAACTCGATACAATATGAAAAAAACTATTCATAGCAAATGTTTACAGCAGTCATTTGTACATGCTATTGGATGAAGTCGAGTATTCAAGGATGAGGTGTGCATTCCCAAAGCACAGGCAGTGCACTGCAGCAGTCAGGCAGTCTAATGGGACTGAAAATCACTTCAAACCTTTCCCTGGGGAAAGACTTGGGATGACACAGAGAAGAAAAACTATGCCTGTTCACTTTAATTATGGTCCTGAGAATTCATTTAACAAGAAGTTTTGATATTTATAGCCAGATTTATACTTCAGTTCGATTTTTTTAATAATAATGAATGTTTATTTCTCTCATCCATTACACGTCATCCCAGAAGCTGTACAAATTT